TTTGTGGGGAGCATGCCAAAGAGAGGAGAAAGGGCTCCAAGACCAAGCACTCATGACTCCAGGATTCATTCGCGTTTGGCATGTAAGATCTTTGGGTCGTCAAAGAATAGGGCCGTGGGAGCCCTTGTTAGGAAAAAGAGCTTTCGGTTTCGGCAGAGTTTCTCTTCTCTTTCCTTCCCTTCCCCTCATCAAGGACCGCACACGAGATGACGAGATGAATCGAATCGAAGTTTTACCTAATCGAGTTAAATCTCGACTAAATTTTATCAAACTCATACTCGACGAACTCTCATTGTAAAGTTCAAATTCGAAATCGACTTCAAATTCAAGCAAAATTGAGCTCGAGTTCGAGATTAAAAAAATAAAAATTTATTTTTTTTTTTTAAAAAATGAATAAAATAGAAATATTTCTTAACAAATAATAAAATATTATGAATATATATATATATATATATATATATAATTTCACTATGAAAAAAAAATATCTTTAAACTTGAGTTCGAATTCGAGCTCGACTTAATCAACTCGATTTCGGTGTTAATTAAACTCGAGTCAAATTTTGACTTGAGCTGTTGCTGGTGATCGGCTAGACTCGTATGCAACTCTACCCTCGCCGCTTCTTTAATTCCGCTTTGCTAGGAAAATTTGAAAAAAAATGATTTATGGCAAATTTTGTTTTGAACTCCAGTGCATTCCATAACGTAAATCTAGTTCACTTCATTCTATAACGTAAATCTAGTACCAAGTGAACGTAATAGCGAGTAGGGCTACAAACGAATCGAGCCGGCTCGCGAGCGGCTCGAGTCAAGCTCAAGTCGAGCTCGAGCCGGCTCGAGTCAAACTCGAGCTCGAGCTCGAACTCAAAATATTAAGCTCGTTAACTCGCTAGCCGGCTCGTGAGTTTGAATATATATATATATATATTTTTTATTTTTATTTAATAATAAAATTACATATATTATATATATATTTTTTATTTTCATAGTGAAATTACGTATATATCCTTAATATTTTATTATTTATTCAGAAAAAATATTATTTATTTATTTTTTTAAAAATAAATAATTATTTTTTATTTTTTTCGAGCTCGAGCTCGGCTCGACTTGATTCAAGTCGAGCTCGAGCTCGAAATTGCCAGCTCGTCGAGTTCGAGCTCGGTAAAATTTAGTCGAGGCTCGACTCGGCTCGATTAGCTCAAAACTCGACTCGGCTCGGCTCGTTTGCAGCCCTAGTAGCGAGGAAAAGGTAAAGGATAATATTAATGGCTTTTGTTGAGGCATGCTCTGTTCGGAGGATTTTTGCCATCCATGTCCAGAATCAGACTACAGTTCAGAAGAGCCATCTGGAGATGCAAAACCATATTTGGCTTTTGAAGTTTCTGAGTGCTCCACAATGGTCATGCAGGACGGTTCATATATTCTTTTGTATACAGTTGTACCTGTCATTCCTTCATGGTCCCTAGTGGATTTCTTGCAGCAGATACTTGCCATATGAAGCGGATCAACTTATCAACTAATGGTACAGGTCAACATTGGTGCATTAGACATTGGACAGAATTTTCAAAACATAAAGATCAGGTCATATAGCATAATTTACACCAAAGAATAACCATCAGCTAGTAATGTAGCTGATCTAACCAATCACATCAATAAGAAGCTGCCTTGATCATTGAAAAATCAGGTTGAAGCATGAAGATGTATTCTGCTTGCTGTTGACATGACATAACATGCTAAGGATCAATTAGTAGATGAAATTGTTTCACTCTTGTGAGTACCAGTTCAAACCATTCCACAAGTGACAACAGTGTCCAAAATTACTCCTGCTTCAAGTCGGAGAATCATAGGTATACAACTCTGCAAAATACAACCGAAAACTTTCGGTGAATCTCATTTTGCATTCCTTTCAAATCTTCTGAAAATATTAATAAACTAACAAGCTAAGATAATCATTTAAGGAGACTTCAACAATATGAACATCTTGTTTGCTTTAAAAATTGTTAAAGCAAAAGCGTCTATGCATCATATGCACCAAATGAGCTAATCCACCAGGGTACCATGGAAAATAGAGGTAGGGCACTAAGTATAAGAAATCTACCTCATAAAATTCAGAATCACATACCTTTCAATTGGGTATAGCCATACAATGTCAATTAATAGATGATGGTTAACCCCATGCCATAGAGCAAGCATAATTCACCACCAGTTTACCATCAATACCGAAATTCTGCAAAATCACAATTCAAGCAACAAACTAAACATTAAAAACAACAGCATATGTACATTCAAACAGAAGAAGAGGTTATTGAACCATGTCTTCAGTTTGATAAAATGACTGTAAAATTGGTTTGAACACCACTGCACTCATAAACAACTTAGTCAACAATATCGTCGATAAGAAGATTCTTGTGTTTTCATATTGCATCTCCTTGATATCCTCAAATGCTCATCCAAAACCCACATAAAGAACTTGCAGAAGCCTAAAACTAAAAGAGCTGAGAAAACACATATTTGGGGCACAAAATATTGATGGAAATGAATACAAACTCACTCCAACAGGGTATGACTGTGAGAAATTACCTCAACTCATAGAAGGTTTATCCTTGCAAGCATTTCGGTTAAGATAAAACAGAGATAAATAGTTCCAAAGGGATCATATAACATTACAACAGAGTTGAAGCAACTTACGTTGTACAAGTCAGTTATCAACTCCTCTGGATTAGGTGAAAAGGCACTGTTGACATAAACAAACTAGGGAAACAAAACATGATAGTCACTCAACATGACCCTGTCTTACAAACGCACATGTCTAAAAACAGCTCAAAGAAAGAACCAATTACCAATGTGTCTCTGTGAAGCTGGCGGCGCAAAAAATCAATTACTTTGACAAATTTGTCTGACCCATCAATCTGCATATGAAATGCACTACTTTAGGTTTTATCATATGAATGAGAAGCAAAATATTCACTAAATGCTTTTCCAATATACACCATTGAAGCCATATGACAATGCTCATGAGTATTTCAAACTCCAAAAGTACCACAATAGCATAAGCAAATAGATATTTATTACATAACAGATGCCCTTTTTTCTATATTGATCCTATGAAAATTACAAGAGAATGAAACAACCAAAATTCTACAACCTTGTCTTCCATAACCTTATTCTTAACAATCTGTCATAATCTAAACTTATAGACTTGTGCCACCATAAAGGGCAAAAAATACTATTTTCCAAGGCATAAACTAAAATTATACAAATTCTACACAGTATGCCTTCGTCAATCACCAACTTCACGGAAAAATTTACAGCGGCAATAATCAAAAAAACAGAGCAAACAAAGATTGGATAAAATTAAGATAGAGAGCTCTTAGATTTAACAAAAAGAGGGGGGGGGGGGGGGGGAGGCAAGAGGAGAGAAAACTCTGCAAATTTCATGAATAATATCTCAGCCGAAGACCTTGTACGCTATTTAACAAACGGCACCGCTTTTAGCCCCAGAAAAATAGCCAATTTCATCAACTACACTGAATTATACAGGTTGATCACCATTAAAATAAAATCTTACTCAAGAATTTAGCCTTCAAGTCAAAACACCATATAAAGTAGAATCAAAAGTATAAAATTTCAACGCCATAAACTGATCTGAAACTACGGTATAATTATAAGCCAAATCCTCAGTCCCTCCCAACAAAGCAGAGATCAAGAAACAACGATTTTTTCAAAAATTCCAACTTTGACTAAATAATCTTCCCCGACGTAAGAAGCAATGAGTAAAGTACGCAATAACCATGAAAATAAATACATGAAAGATCAAAAAAGGGTCTTCAAAACTCCAATTTAAATTAGATTTAAATACTAACACAGTTAAGTATGAGAAAACCTTGAATTTGGCCTGTTTGAGAATCGGCGGCGTCCCCAGTAGCTCGAAGATGAACCACAACTGCATCATAATCATCAAAATTTTAACAACACTTGATCTATGTATTACTGTTTAGCAGAAATTAAGAACTTTAGAAAACTAAAATAATCGAAAACATCTATACCGCTGACCTTTACGATGTTCGGAAGCCATGATGGATTTCTTTTCTTTAACTCGTACGTGAAAGAAAGAGAGAAATAAAGACCAGGGATAATTTCAGAAACCTCCCCTCAGGTTTCTGACTGTTTCATTTCTCTACCCTGAGGTTCTAAAGGTATCACTAACTTCCCCTCAAACCAATTTTCTTATAACAATTTAGTCCAATTCAAAACAAGCAACAATAAAAAAATAATTTAAGATGCGAAAAGATTTATAGGTCTGTTTGGATTGTGAGTTATTTGGGATTATTTGAGATATTTTTACTGTAGCACTTTTTGTGATGTGATGTATGTGAGATAAAAATATTGGGAAGATAAAAAGGTGTATTGGAAATTATAAAGATGATGTAAGCAAATAAAATTGGGAAAATACGAAGCAATCCAAACAAACCCATATATATGCCAAAAGTGCCATTCAACTATTATATTATTAGATTAAATATTTGATCTAACTTGTTAATTTACGTACGAGGCCATTATTATACATGATTACTAAAATATGTCCATTATTCATAACAAAAAAATAACAACGTCCAAAATTTAACAAAAACATTTTTTTTCATACTTTAAGATTCTTGGTACCACCACAATTATAAGAAAAATTAACTCAATTCTATCCCCAAATTTATTATTAGATTATTGGATGATTTAATTTAGATTAAAAGTTGGATTCATGGATGTAAAATTTCGATTTTTAAATATTAAGAATGAATTTATTTTATTTTAAAATTAAGCAATGAAAATAAAATATTTTTACAAAATATAAGCGATAAAACAAGTCTTTTTTCCAAATGTATATATACACCACGAATGCGTCTGCTTAAGAATCACCCAAAAAAAAAAAAGGAAACGGATAACGGTTCTGGGAAATGAAAACTCAAAATCAAAACGTCAAATAGCAGAAGTACAGTTAGAAGCAAAGCTATGAATCTTAGCACCAGCGCCCCCACCTTTTTACGGCAACCTCACATAGTCCGCCATCGCTACTCTTCTTCTTCTTCTTCTTACTTCGGCTTCAGTAAAAGGGAGAACTACAAACGGTGTCGCTTCATAGCCCTTGCTTCTTTTCCTCTTCTTCATACTCGTTGCCGGAGCTGGAACTCCCGCTTCTTCCTTTCCCAAGGACCAAGTAATTTACCTATCCATTTATTTTGCCTTTTTTTTTTCAAGTACTAATGCTGCTTCTTTTTCCTCAAATTACAGAGTGAGTTTCAATTTCTTTTTTGCTTGATTTAATTTTTCTGTGAAATTTTGGTTTTACTTGAGTGATTTTGATTTGCTACATGAGATTAGAAGGAAAGATCGAGCTGTCTTGATTTTTTTTTATTGAAGTAAGAGCTTTTAATAGGTTTGTTTTGGTAATTATTGTACAGGTACTTGTTCCATCTGAGGCTAAGAAGCTTCATTTGCATGAAGCTGGATATCTAGCTCTACTGGAGGAGGTAATCACATTTCATCTCTCTAGTTTTTTTTTCTTTTCTTTTCTGGATTAAGGCTATGCCATCAGTGGTGTGTTGGATAAGGATTTTGTGAGGATTTATTTTCTACTTGCATCATGAGAAAGTTATGGAGCTTCTGTTTTTTGCTTGCAGCGTTGATAATTGTAACTTTTAGAAATAGTTTTGGTTTGATAAATTGGGAAGTTTCAGTTTTGAGAGTATTGATGTCATAGGAATTGAGGCTGCTTTCTTGCTCCCCTGTATGCGTTGAATCGTGCAATCTTCTTTCCAATATCTTCTGACCTGCTCAATCGACCCGAGTTTTCATGGTCACTAAGGTTGCTGATGTAAGCAACATAATACCAGAATTTTGTTGACCAAATTCTTGCTAACTTGTATGCAGTCCTTGTTTCAGAACAAAAGCTTTTTGTGCATTTCGTGTTGGATCCCATTGCTGTTAATGAGACACTGAGAGAAGCATCATTTGCAGCTCGGTATGGTTGCTTGGTCTCCATTGAGAAAGTAAGCCTCCATCTCTATTTGACATAGAAAAGTAAGTTCATTAATGTGCATTCTAACAAATTTTTTCCATTCCGTGCAGGTTGAGCAGCTGGATGTTGGTGCTTTAGTGTTCATAAGGGGCATAGGTCGTGTCAAGATTGTAAAATTTGCACAGGTAGTGATGATATGTGGAGCTTTTTACTGTTGATTGTGAGCTTGTATAGTTTCACTAGTTACTGATCCTTGTAATTTGTTTCATGTTTTAGTTGTCTGGTTGTCATATACTGAGTAAATCATTTCACCTTGCTTTGGTTTGTAAAACCTACAAGTCTAGCCTCATTTTGTCTCATATAAAACGGATTCAATTATGGCTTCTGGCTTTACAGAGCTCTATTGCATCCTTTGTTGCCCCTAAGTTTTAAGACTGGCTTTAAATTGAGTATATAAGAGAATGACATAGTTTTCTTTTTCTGTTTTGTCCAACTTATTGTACCTTAGGACCCTGATTTAGAGCACTCGTACTGGTTTCATCATCTTATTATTTGTCTAGAGCCTTGATCCATTTTTGCATGGCTGGCAGCACCAATACAATCTTATTTATCTAAATTGTCATAGCATATCAGAGCAAGATGCTTGATTTTTTTTTTCTTTTGCACTATGACTTTTTCTTCAATTAAAATGTTGGGCTTCCTGCATCCTGTCTTTTCCTGCCTTATTTCATGGTAACTGTGTTATGTTCTTCTTTCTCACTTTTGAGTTTCATGCTGTCTATATATACCTCTTTTTGGCTGGATTATCAAACTATTGTGAAACCATTGACAAGTAGATATTTGTTGTCATTGATATCCAGGCACATCTTACTTGAAATAAATTGCAGGAAGAACCTTTTTTGCGCGGTGCTGTTGTACCAGTAAAGGATCGCATACTCCATGAAGCCACAGAGTTAAATCCAAAAGTACTTCAACTGAAAGAAGCTATTCAAAATTTGAATAGCTTGGAGATAAAATTGAAGGTGCTTTGATTCTGCTATCTATTTATTTGATTGTTTAATATGTAGTTGGCTTTTCCTTTGAATAGATGGTGCATATGGTACTGCTGCATGGTCGTTTACTGCATTGACTTAAAAGTGAAAACAAGAAATGATAGAACTGAAAGTAAGTTCTCTGGATTGATATGCTTGGATTCATCTAAAATTCTATTTGTTCTGGTTTTGCTGATGCTTAGGAAAGATACAAGGGATAATATCAGAAACCTCCCTTGAGGTTTCTCTTAATATCACTTGGCACCCCTGAGGTTTTAGAAATATCACTTACCTCCCCTAATAATTGTAAAACGACTATATTAACCCTCACTTGACACATAATTCACAACATATCAAATAAATGAAGCTCAAAAATTTAAAAAAAAAAAAAAGAAATGGAAGTCACATTCTTCTTTTTTCCTTTTCTCCATCATTCTCTCTTACTCATAGTTTTTGGATGACTATGCAATATTTTATTGTAAATTATAATAAATTAAATTTTGTTTATCTTTTACTTTTTGTGATTGTGATAAAGTGGGGTATGATTTATGTGCTTATTTTGGGTTGATTTTTATAATGATTGGTATGGTTTAATGGTTTGAGTAAAGGGCTGAGAAGATGTTGTCAAAAAATGTAAATTTATAGGAAATCGGTTTTGAGCATATAGAATTAAATTAATGCAAGTGTATTTCTTTTCAAATATTATTTTTTTTTCAAATTTATATTTTTATGGGGTATAGAATGTGATGTAGTGGTACTACAAGAGATTGCTTTTGAGGTGATGGTTTTCTTGAAGTGAACAAAGTGGTTTAGGAACATTTTTATTTAGCAAGTGAAAGGGTAGTTTAGGGTTTTTAAAAATTTTGTTATACAAATAACAAAATTAAGGGAGGTAAGTGATATTTTTAAAACTTTAGGGGTGCCAGGTGATATTAAGGGAAACCTCAGGGGAGGTTTCTGATATTATCCCAAGATATAAATAACCTTTGGCTTGCGTACATCTTTGTCTTCAAGGCAAGATGTAAATAATTTTCATGTGCTTTTATTTTATCTACAAGGTTTCCTAGTTGTTTTTTAATATTTTTATTTTCTATTAACTTTGATTCATTACTAAGCAATAAATTATCTCCTACAAAGTCAGATATCTGTTATGCAGTTCAATTACTGGTATTGCAATGTTTAATGATATCGTACTGTTAATCTTTCATAAATTCACAGCCGGTCATGGATAAACACTAATTGACTACATATGGAAAGGAAGCTTTGGTTGCTTAAGCTCAGCTGATTCCAGCCCTTTTAACTCTAAAAGCTTTTTTAGGGGCATTTTCATTTGCTTGTGATGTTACTACTGCTTTAGTGTTTGGAGATGAAAAAGCTGATTCTAGGAATCAGCCCTCAAAACACATTGCAAAGCAACAGTTTCCAAATTTTTTAGCACAAAATTGTGCTTCCACTTCTTCAACAGGTTCTTAAAGAATCATGGTCATCTCAAGCACATATGGAAAGGATGAAGCACGAGAATAGTCATATGATGAATAGAAATATATATTGTACTTTGCTAAGCTGTACAATTTATACATGGCATGAAAGATCAATTAGATTGGCCGCATGAAGCTTATTTCATGTGATTTTAGCTTTTATCCTCTTGTTGATTTGTTTTTGCACTACATTGCACATCTTGGCAGGTGGTATAGTTAGCTTAACATAACGACTAGATATATTTGTTTACTTAATTGACAGGTCCTGTGACTACAGCTTGTTTAGTTGAATATTTTCTCACAAAAATTAGTCCAAAAACTGATGCATATGTCCCCAAATATGAATCAAGAATTTGATAGGCAATTTCAATTTTATATTCAGTTGGAATTGGCTCCATAGCTCGTATGATGCCAAATATTTACAGTGCTGGCTTTTAAATAATTTTTGGGTCAAATGCAATTTACCATACTTTAAAAGAGGTTTACAAGGATGAGTTGTGAATTCTTCACTAAGGCAGGCAAGGGCTTCATGGCGTGTGGAAAACATATGAACCCAGCCACAATTTCTGAACCATGAAGAACCTCTCTAAAGGTCTTCTAGGCCCCAGTCTTAACTTTTTCAATCAAACAGAGAGCCTAGTCAATAATCAACTGCTGCTGTCTTTTATCCTTTTTGACTAATATAAAACCAGTTTTGAGGCTTACGGTATAGTCCCATGATAGATGCCTGGAACCATAGAGGTCCGCTTAACACGTACTCACAGCAGAGGGATCAATTATAGAAAGAGAATCCACTTACTATTTTGTGTGGGGATTTAAAATGAAAACTGTTGTGTGCTTTTTACTGCAGAACAAAAATTTTCCTGATATAAAATTTACTCTTGGTTTCACATTCCTGAGCTCAAGCATAGCTTTGAACAGCTAGGAGTTTGAAGATTGTTTTACTGTGCATGATAAATGATGTATTCTTTTTCCTCACGATTATTACTTTTAACATTTTGAGGCCTAATTAAGAAGGTAGAAGGTACATCCATCCAGACGAAATTGCTAATGTGGGATATATAGTTATATTAGGAATCTCAAGCCATGACTGTGAATCCCTCATTCTGTTGAGCTTCTGCATCGTAGGCTCCTGAGGAGGCCTTGTTGCAGACTCAGACAGCAAACTCTTTAAACTGGGCTGAAAAGGCACCAGGGTTAGATTGTGATGAAAGTTTTGTTCCCTCCCTCGCTGAGCGCATTTCTTTTGCTGCTTATCAACCTGTTTCAGGTATAATGCCACTTATTCATGCTTTTCGATATGGTAATTTTAAGCGTTGCATTTTAAATAATGACATGTTTGAACTCACAAGTTAAGTTGATGCCCATGGGCACTAGTTAAAAGCTGCTGGGACCTTTCAATTGATACTTTTTGCTTGTGTAAATAATCTGCCTGGTTTCTGATAACTTTGTCTAGATTACTTTAATCTTAATAAGTTGAGTTAGCACTGTGTATCATTGGTTGTGACTTGAGGTCTTGTTTTTTAGCAACATTTTGATCATGTGTCCGCTAGCATGATAAAAAGAACTGCTTTATATCCAATTTGTTGCGAATAAGAAATACAAAAGGTGCACAAGTGACTTTTCACTTCAGATAAATATCTTGCTTCAGATTCTCTGCCAGATATCAAACTCATCAACATAATGTTAGTAACTCATCAAAGTGCAGAGAAGAAGTTACCTTTACTGTAGAACTGAGTGTAGGATTGTCATCAGATTGTTCACATTGCACTGTTCTCTGCTAGAAAGGTTTTAAGTTTTCTCCGTAGTGGAGATTTTACTTAGAAATTCTTTTTCTGTTCATGTGGAGTAACTCAGATAATACATATTGCAAAATGCTAATCTATTTGTATAACAATGCCATCAAAACTTACTGAAGGTGCATTATTTGTTTGTTATGTGTGGATACGGCTAATGAAGTGAAAAGATTTGCAGCTCAATGTTGTAAATTTTGTTTATAATTGTAGGATCAATGCAGTCAGAATTGACAAAATTGCAGGAAGAGAAGTTAAAAGCTATGGACGGCAAAGATACCCTGGAAAGATTAAGGAACTCTCTGGAATTTGTTAATAACAATATTTCTGTGGTCGCTGCCAAACTCGCTCTTCAATCCTTATAGGGGCAGTGAGCAGGAAGTGACTAAATTCTCACTTTATGGATTGTTTGAGAAAAACAATCAAGATTCTTAGATATTGTGTAAATTGGTTTGGCATGTGAAATGACATGGTTTCAAGTCATTCTAGTGGGTACTGAAACCTAGTCGCTAAAGGCAGTTCCTGGGATATTGTAAAAAGCAGGAAATGGACCGTGTCATCCTGTAGCTGCACAGAAGTGGGATAACAATATGCAGCGACTTCAACTGCAGATCCAAGATCTTGAGCTTTTGACATGGTAAGTCTGGACACTCATTAGCTCTGACTTAATGGAATAGTTAATCAATCATGTGTTGCAAGAATCATTAAAAGTAATTAACATCAAAATCATTTTTGTTGCATAACGATTGCATTGGTTAATTTGTTATTTTGATTGTTTGTTGCATCAGTCAATCCTTTTGTGAACAATTCTTGTCAAGTGTTTTTGGCTTTTCTGCTTTAGTTTAAGCTCCTTAGAGAATGAGCTATAAATTTTGCTGCCATCTGAGTTTAGCAAATAAGAAGTATTTGTAGATGATTTATTTGCCATTCTTTTGTGAACAACTCTTGTCAAGTGTTTTTGGCTTTTCCACTTTAGACATGTTTAGGCTCCTTAGAAAATGAGCTACACAATTTGCTGCCATCTGAGCATGGCAAATGAGAAGTATTTGTTGATGATTTATTTGCCACTGTGATTTGTTAGGCAAAAATCTATACCATGGTGAGATAAAGACCCCACAGTTGTACTTTGTGCAAATTTGCCTACACTCACCTTATAGTATTCTGCATACTTTAATATAGTATATCGAGAATTTCATCATCACATTGAGCTGAAAAACTTTTCTTTCTTAGATTGCTTGTAACTAAGAATTCATGGAATAAGACTTGGAAAAAACCTGGTTTCATACCAAAAGGCCTAAAAATTTGTAGGAAAGGGTAAACCTTGGTGTTTCAACTAATTAAATACTATGAAGTCGAGTCGTATCTGTATGCTTTCACAGTAGCATGATCTTTCCCATTTGAATTTACAAGCATGAAAATATGCTGCTTGGTCATTACACATTGCTGAGAAAGTAAACGTTCATGTTCAAACTAGTTGGAGTCATGTTTTCAGCAATCTCGTGTTTCTTTTGCTAGCATTCAGGTTTGGCTACTCTGTTTCGTATATCAGAAGCATTTTTTGGTTGTGATACGCTATCCCTGACCTAGGAGCTAGGGGTACTTTGTATTCCACTATTGTTTCTTCTAAAACTGGAATAATTCCATGGTGATAGCAATCATTTTGACAGAATTGGATACTTTCCTTTCTTCTTCTTTCTTTCTTTTTTCAGGTCGTGGTACATAACTTCTACAGAAGCAATTAATAAACCTCAATGAACTTCGTACAAGGATGCTAAAATGTTAAATTTGTTGGATTACCTTGCTCTTTTCGTTTATCAGAACTTTGCTTGAAGTGTTCTCCATGCTCGGCTAGAGGTTATTGGAGAATCCTGCATTCAAGTTGCTCCTTTTGTACTTCATCAGCGATGTTGTTGTTTGGATATAATTGCCAGATGTTTAGTCTTTGATTCTTGGAATCCTCGTTTCTATCATGGACTAACAGAAAACTGAAGCAAAATTTGTAGTAAATTTACCATTTGAGCTTTGGATATTGGAGTTTATTGCCTTCAGTCAGTCTTAAGGATTTGCCTCTTTTGACTTCAGAGATGCGGTGCTACATTCAGTCCTGCAAGGAATTCAAGTCATTCCTTCGCTAGGATTCTCGAGAGAATTGCAATTATAGTAAATGACAAGCCAATATTTTTCAAATGTTTTTTTTTTTTTTTAATGTAAGTAGGAGTGCTCGAATCCAGATCTCTAACTTCCTCCCGGAGACCATCCAATCCATCCCTCGCTCAATACTTTTCTAATATTGATCCTTCATGTGAAATCAATCACAACCTTGTTTTTTAGCTTGGAACCCAAAAAAAAAAAAAAAAATTAAAAGGTTACATCAATTACTAGTCAATTGTTCTTGAGGATGTAGATTTTTTTTCTTTTTTTTGTTCGTAAGATATAAATCGTTTATTGATCCCGTTCTCATGTCAAAATAGTCACAATTTTTGAAAAAAAAATTATGTATGTAATATAAACACAAGAAATGAGTAACATTTAAAGAATCCCAGACTTTTAATGTTACCAAAGACAATAAACTAAGACTGGTGCCTCTTAAAACCAAAAAGGAGTGGAAACAAATTCCTTGATCGAACTAACCATAAATAAGAACCAATGGTATGAACTGGTATAAAGCACCCTACGGCAGCAAGGGCCAGCAAACCTTCCCCAGAACCAGTGCTTTTTCTAGACTTGGGACATTTCTTCAATTGGTATCTCGTTGGTTTCAGGCAAGAAAAAGTATACAGTCATTACTATCTCCCTCCAAAGAAGATGAACAAATAATACTTCATGGTACATAGCATCTTGAGAAAGACCTTTGCCACCAAAAATGTGAAGAGCATGTTTACTGCGACGGTGATGCTCTGTGCTGCAGGCCTGATCTCGTGTGAAAAATCTCACTTGGAACCAGCCATCCTAGAGGACCCCAAGAACATGCAAAAGCAGAGACGAAACAACATATGCTATGGCAAAACCGTTTGGCAATTGATCCACTAGTCCTGACCACCCAAATTCAATTCCAATTAAAAGTAAATTTTGTATATATAAGTATATATGCTATTATGGTTGGATATACGACACATAATAAATAACGTTTCCAGTGAATTCCTAAAAAAACACACCAATCCATTCATTACTGTCTATCACCTCTAGGGCAAACTGACCTAAACCAACCATATGCAACTGCATTTGCTTCTCTCTCCTAACCTAAAGTTTGCACCCTTGAATTTGTTTAAGAAGAATTGTATATACTAGTGCTTAAATGCTTGATTTTTTTTTGTTGCTTTTTTTTTTGGTGGGGGGGGAGGGAGGGAGCTATAGCAAGAATATCAACTTGTAATTTAGAAACATGCAAGGAGGGTACATATGTGGATGGTTACCTGAAATGCAATCATGACAAGACCTCCCCAAAGAAATAGAGGCCTTCGACCCCATTTATCTGTGCCATAGACAGAGATGAAGGTGGCCAAGACATTAACACCACCAGCAATGAGGGCTGACATTAGAGAGGCAGTGCCCCAAATCCAAGAGTTTTGAAAAGCACAGGAGCATGGAACATCACCACATTGATGCCTGTGAATTGTTGAAAGAGTGGAATCAAGACAGACACGCAAAGCTGAGGCCGATAGTGCTTTTTCCTAAGGTCTCTCCATGGGTGCTTCACCTTTTTTGATTCCGCACAAGCCTCCAATATATCTTTGTATTCAAGATCAACGTTCTCTACTCCACGGATTTTCTTGAGCAATAATTTGGCATCATCTACCTTGCCCCTGTCTACTTGGGAGCTGGGAGTATCAGGGAGAAAAATGGCTAAAGCTCCCATCACAATTGCAGGAACTGCAGCTCCCCCTAGGCTGTACCTCCATCCATTATGGGGCAAATATTTGCCAGTGAAATAGTTGACAATGTTGGCAGCAAATATTCCGATTGTGATGAACAACTGGAAACAAACATTAATCTTCCACGATATTTGTATGGTGTTATCTCTGATAAATTGGCACTGACTGCAAGTGACAAATATCATATATATTAGCGTGAAGGAAAAAATTACTCCTATACTCATGCTGGTGTATTTGGTTCTTGAAAAAAAAAACATATCTTTTTTTTGACATGTTGGACCATATTGAGAATTATTACTATACAAAAACTTGATATGCCCAAGGAACATAAGAGTTCATAAACATTTTTTTAATACATTACTGTGTAAAAAAGTTAGAAACTTTTCAACAGATAACGTAGGAAACAAGTTTCAATAGTTTTCAACAGATAACGTAATACGTTGCTAATTTACCTGATTGGCAAAACCAACGCCAATGCCCAAAAGAATGCAACCCAAAATCAGCATAATAACGCGGACAGCAAAAGCATTCAAGAATGCACCAGCCAAGAAAACAATAGCACCAGCCAAGATGGTTGGTTTCCTCCCAAACTTCTTGCTCAACCATGAAGCAAAGAAGGATGATACCAAAGCAGCCAAGTATAGGGAAGATGTGAAGAGGGTCAAGAGCTCACTGTCAAATTTGCAATACTGATTTGTCGAATGATGATCAAGCGCCTCCTTTCTACAAACTGATGGGAAAAAGTTTTCCAAGGATGGACCCATTGAAGTCACCCCACCTGCAATTTTTTATCATATAAACTAATTTCACTTCCAAAAAAAAAAATAGTAGTAATACATATTATTCACATTCAAAAAGGAAAAAACAAGTCGTGGTTACAAACCGGGTATCAGAATATATTAAAAAAGTAGAGGTATTTTGTAACTTCTGATTTTAACTTCTTTTAACTTGTGAAAATCTAAGAGTTGAAAGAATTGTTCCTGACGACATCACATAACAGATTTTCTCAACAACTTAAGATAGATTTAAAAAATCAGTGGAGACAGGCCTAGGGTAAAGAATGCAAGAAAGTTACCAGAGATTCCAATATCATACCCAAAGATCAAACCGCCCATGGCGGCGGCAATAGCAGTGAAGATCACATAATTGGGTTACTTTTCCGGGATATTCAGTCTCACCACCACCTTTGTTAACGGTAACCGGTAAAGCCCCGGCCATTGTTGCTATAGCATGTGATGTGGACTGCCAAGAAAGTATGACAGATGAGAAAGAGATGACGAACATGCAAAAATAATACTAATAAGGAACGTATGGATATAATATGTGAACCACAGGCCAATTTATCGAGGTTGTTTATTGGGTGCGTTCTGGATAGAATTTTACTTTCAAACTTTATCCGTAACGAAAAAGGAAATCCTTTAGTTACTTAACTCGAATACAATTCAAGTTTTGGTTCCTCTTGATTGACGTCTACGTACTATGGTTGTTTCTGTTTCGCATGCATGCATGCAGAGACAGCTCTCAATTGAGGATTGGGAAAATATTATCCGTTAGGAAATTAGCTTAATTTTGTTTTTCATTTGGGTAGGTTCCTAAGTTCTTTTATTTTATGTAAAAATAACTAGTTGGTTCTTTTATTTTATGCGAAAATAACTAGTTTCCTTATTTATTTAGTTACTTATACTAGCCATGAATTTCCTAATTTCTTATTATATATATGAGTTTAGGAATTAGAAGTATTTCCTATTTTACATAAGCTTAGAAATTAGTAGTTATCTCCTGTTATTACTCATGGTGGTGTGAGCGCTTCAAATCCTATCTATCCCATGTTTATACAGCTGTTACGTGTATTGATGCATTGATAACTCAAAAATTTCTCAAAGAAAGTAAGGACAAACAGCCCTAAAACAATATGGAACCAAGATGTAGTCTTGTCCAAACAAACAACAAATAGGAACTGATCAATTGATCATGTACACTACTCAATGTTGCATGGCATGAAGAGGGATGAAAGTTGACATATCGTCTCTCAACATATGGTACGGGGAACAAAACAGATGGCGCAAAACAGTTTTTTGGGAGTTATCTTTTTAGTAGCTTAAGCAAAAGAAAATTTCTACATGCCATCGCTGTTCTTTTCAAGGGTAAATTCACTACAAATCAACATAGATCGTTGGACAATGGAAGGTTTTTTTCCCCTTCTTCTTTTAACAGGAGAGGAGTTAATTAGAAGGGGAAAGGAGATTAAAACCCAAGATTTTTAAGTGTTCTAGACAGAACAATTATATTAATATAACATTTTTTTAGTCAAATGATAGCATCTACACCACTCTTATTCCGATAATATAACATTTTTTAGTCAAATGAACTATCTTTTATTATACTCCAGGATATGAACAATATATAAAGTTAGAATGTAGGCAGTTGATATAAACAATTGTTGTCATTTTTTGAACTTTCAATCATATCCTTCAAAAAAAAAAATAATTTATCCTGCCCACCTAACCATATTTTACCAACATACTGCTCATAAGTACCTGAATATCGTAGTAACTATCTATAACCACTTTAAATATTATAACTACTAAATTATTATAACCTTATAAACCAAAGTTCTTTCGAAAATTAATATAAATATTATTTACATAGAAAACAAAAATTATACAAACTTAATTCATTTTAAGGTTTTCCAAATTGCACACACATTGTGTGTGATCTTAACACTAATTCTAATAAAGAACTACAAAACTACATATAATTAGTGACATTTTTTTTTTTTTGGCTACAAAGAAACACAATTAGAGCATGCTGTAATCACTTGCATAGATAACTTTTGGAAAAAATTGCAACTAGTAGTTATTGATGATTAGGTAATAGTATTTGATATATCATTCATTCCCCCTAAAACAACCTTTACTTCCAAAAAGTGAAAGTCCAAATTTCATTTATTTATGGATAAAGCAGTGATATTCACATTGTGGTCTCGCAAGTTGATTTTTTATTCATGTGTCTATTTATTTCTGTTCATGTATTTTTTCCATATCATTATTATTATTTATTTTGTAGCAAATGGAGCAATGGTGGAATACGGAACGAGTTGGGCTCTTGTAGCATTTTTCTCATAGGCCGAAGGAAGCCCAGGTTTGTCTCAGATATTTATGGGCTCCATCTGGCCCATCTCATATCA